TATTAGGTTGAAAAATTTTACTTTTCGATAATTCTATTTGAACCTACATTTCTCAGCTAATCGAAGTGAATGTATTTACAGTTACATCACGAAAGGATATTGTCAGTTGGCAAATTTGTCAAATAATTTCTTAACTTATTATTAAGTTATAATATGATATAAACTGTAATGTCATTTATTAAGTAAATAGCTTCTAATTCCTTATCGATATTCACATATAAAACTCGTATCATGAGCAAAATTTTAGTACAACTGTATTTCGTAGCAACTAGCACGTACTTAACTTTACGACGATGTAGTAGAATCGGAAATTAGTTTTAAATAATTTATTTGAAGTAGTATTTCTAAATATGAGAAGTTCTTAGAGGTACTACTGACCTTATTAATATTATATAAATTTATACATTGTAGATACTCGATTACTTATAGACACATTATATTTTGTTTACGGGTTTAAGAATTGGAAATACTATTAATAAATCTGACGGCACATTTAGAAAGTATTTCAATTGCAACTTTTCGGAAATCTGTTTTTTTTTTTTTAATATTAGTATTGAATTTTTTTAATTGGATTTCAAGATAGTGCCTGTGTTTTAGAAAGATATATACGAATTTCTAAAACGTTACAATGTTGTATTAGTTCGGAAATATTGCTGCTGGGAGTTTTTTTTTTTTATGTGTGAAAATAGTATGGTAACCCCGCCTGCGCTAACGGGATACGCTGGCGAAGCACCAGTGAAGGGTGACAGATGAGAATGAATGCTGCTGGGAGTTGATTCCAAAACATAGTTGTACCTACATGAAAAAAGTGCCATAAAAAAGACACGATGGAAGACTCGAGTACCAAATCGTTAGGACAGATCTTTAGTTTGTGACGAGTTGTATGATGGTGTATTCAGTAACAGATATCAAACCGAACAAATTTTTAAAACACTTTCTATAATATACAGTTAAAAATACTCACAAAGTAGCGACTGTGTATTAACTATTCAAGCAGTATTACCATTCATTCATAATTACAAGCAACGTCATCTAATCCGCTCAACCGATTTTGATGCAATATATACCAGTTTTTAAGTTAAATTAATATCTACTTGATTATAAAATTCCTTGAAATCGATTTAGCTATTTTCGATTTAGCGATTTAGCTATATATTTAGCTATTAGATTATATAAGTAACAAAAAATCAAAAATAAAAAAATAGAAATTTAGTTTATGTCGAATATATCTAACCTTTATAATTTTTCTTCTCCTTTCTAACTCTATTACCTTTATAGTAGACAAAAGCATAACTAGACACTAATATATCTTACTTGCCTCTACTTATAGACAGTAGTTATTTCATACTAACCTAGTATTTTCCAGAAACGGTAACAGAACGTATTAGGAAAATATTACTTCAAAAATTCATATATGCATGATCGGAATAAAGAAAAAGCTTACTTATTCTGGTAAAAATAGCGCTTTCGTTCCGCTTCTAAACTTTACCTAGTAGCACGTACATAGTGCACAAGTCATAAACGTAGTACCTAGAACATATTCTCGTACTTACAGACTGCCAATTCAGTGATAGAGAGGCGAGATTAAAGATATTGGATAACTTATCTAAGGACGAGACAAAAAAAAAATATTACCTATATAATATTAGGAATAATCACGTACTCTTAATAATTGTGGGCATTCAGTACATTAGGTATATATACAACAGTTATAATATTTTAAATTGCATTTAAAGAATTAACATTTAAAACATTCATATGCGTAAAATATTTAATTTTATTGTTTTTTAATGTATGTATTATATTTTTTTACTATATAAATAACTATACCTATACCTTAACTAATTACGTTCAGTTAAACTACACATCAAAATGCGAGCATAAATAAGTATTTATTTTGTTCATAACTCCCATCAATTCCCTATAGGTTTCTAGTATGTACTCAAATGACCTATCTATTTCGCTTAAACATATTTTTTTACATTTATATTTTTTAATTTAAGGCACAGGCGTCAGTATTAGGTCTCATTCGATATTCTATTCCTAGTATAGATACACAGATACTATACGTAATTCGTAGGCACGTGATGCTGTCTCCAATTGAGTGCAATTTCCGTCAATTCCGCCATTCCTGTTCACCACCGGAATTACGGAATATGTAAGGAATTTTAGATAGGTACCTACTACTTCCGAACTTTTGGCAGTGCAATTTGGGGCGTCTTCGTTTGCAAAGTTAAAAGCTAAAAATAATTGATTTACATTACTTGTTTACTTGACATTTGCTGAAACATCTTACTTAGGTAGTTCTGAAAGAGAAAGAGACTGCAAAAATGTTTGTAATAATATTATAGTATCGTAAACATACGAGTAGATATCTAAATTTTAACTGTAACCTCTTGTACATATGACCTGCAACGATTAATTTACATTTATTTTGTCAGTTTGTATCCTATTTTATCTAAAATAATACCTAGGTATTTGATATTTTTTTGCAGAGCAAAATGTTAGATTACCGAAATTAATTTAATCATTATACCTACTCAGTCTATCGCCCATTATAATGCATAATATATATTCAATCTTTATTAATATTTATAAATATGAAAGTAAATTAGATAGTTATTTCTTGGCTCTTTAACTCAACTTGGCTTAGCCAATTTCGTGGTAATTTCTAGGTAAACGAAGTAAATGTCGTGGTCACAGCTAGTAATTAATATATTTTACATAAATTATCAAAACCATATCATATCAGACCTTAACTGTCCATTGCTGAACATAAACCTTTGCCAATAGTTGCCACGATTGGCAGCCGGATTGGCAACCGTAGTTAGTCTTTAGAGATGTTTTAAGAGGGACGCTGCTGTCCATCCTTCGCCGTCCTTTAGTCGCCTCTTACGACATCCATATGTAGGTTATGTTACAAAATAATAGACTATCAAGATTACAACATATTTTTCAGCTAAGTTAAATATTTTACTTTTCTTTATCTTGCAAACTTCGTTCTCAGTAAGAGGAAACAAACATTGGCAAGAATTCTTAATGAAGAGATCCAGAACAAATATAATCAATGGACTAAGAAACGAGTTGGAAAAATCTTGGATTTAAAATTCTCTTTTTCTTGTTTCAGTTTGTTTCGACGGAATTCCGAAATGTGATTGATAATGCAAGTGACGCGGCGGTTCGTGGATTTTTCAATCGAACTTGAAACGAGATTCTAAGCTCCCAGCAAAAAATGTGACATTAAAATATTCACAACGGCAGCGAAGTGTAATCGATCGAGCTCTGAAAAACCTATCTAGTTATAGGTATATTTGAATTTGCAATGTATCTCACGTATCTACATATGTATTTTTATGAGACTTCTAAAAGGTAAAAGTTCACAATTCGTTCTTATTACTTTGTGGATTTGCCACGTAATTACGTCGCCAATTCTGAACTTACTTTGATAATTTTAATAATTCTTTTTGTTTGTTGTTGTTGTTCAATCATTAAGTACACATAATAAGGTATGAAAATATGCATATTGCCAAGTAAAGTCTATACATATATATACCCGATTCTCTGTATTATATTCAAATATTTTCAATATAAAATGCGAACGAAATATTCATATTTTGTCAAGATTGAAGTAGGTGTTTCTTTTTATGCAAAAAATATATTTGTTTTTATATCATGTTAATTTTATTCAGATATTTAAAAATATTTCTTCATAAATTCCAAGTATTTTTTATATCATTAATTATGAGTTTAATTATGGTAATTTGTACTAGATTGCTTTAGGGCGAGGCTTGCTCTGAAAGCGTTCGGGTACCTATATTTATGAGTGTTTCTCAAATTGGAATCTTTTTTAATTAACTTTGAAGACATAATAAGAGAGAAAAATATATGCAACTGTATGTAAATGCTTTTAAATTTCCGTGCACGTCCACAATATCGTCGCGGAAGATTAAAAATGTTACAGTTTTCTTTCTTATGACTCATAATGATAAAAATCGCACGATATCTTGTCGTGCTATGGCAAATTATAAGAATACCCTATATACAACATTATAGTGTGGGTATCTAATAAGAAAGGCAGGGCAACCTTAACACGAACTTTTCAATTTTTTATCAACGCATTTTTATACTGTACTTGTCTGTATATGAAAATAAAATAAAACCTAATATTACATATAAAGAAATAAGTTTTTTCATTTGTTATCCCTTTATATTCCAACTCACGCCAAGCCACAAGATATAGCTAGTATTTTATATTCAAAGATGGATAATCCTAAAATTTGTAAGCATGACTGTCATTGTATTTAAGTCAATCGATCGAACAAAATTAACATATTGCTTTGACGCTTTCATGGACCCGTCACTCGAAGTTAAGCCGCTTTATAATGCTTTGAAAGGAGCCAAAAGCTACAGTAATAGGTATACCTAACCTACTAATGGTGCTAGATTTATATGTTATAATCTTACAGGTAATTTAATATTAAAAGGAACGTTTATAGAGAATTATTTTTATTTTATCTTAAATATATAGATTACTCTTGAGATAAAGCGATAAATACCTGTTAAAATATTAGATACTTGTTATGAGAGGTTATGGATATTATTGCATTCATTTAAAAAATCACTAATATAAATTTAAATGAAACTAACTTCAATGTTTGTTTTAGTCCCAAGAACTTTCAATTGAAATAAATAATTTTATTATTTTACATACATAATAATTATTAATAAGCAGTAGTATCCTACAAATACTAAGACATTATTATCCAAAAAATAACAGATTTCAATTATGGCAAAACTAGTTGTTTTGATTTTAATTCATATATATATTTACTTAATATGATATTTAATTTAATTAAAACTAAATTACTGAATCGATTTTTTCAAACATTCTATGAACCTTATCTAAAAGTAAAACTAATGTAGATTGAAAAAAATAGGAAAAAGTAATCTAGTAATAAATAATTTAAACTTTTATCTTACAAAAATTTGCATTAAGCTCTCATTTTTTCGTCTATCTATAAAAATACACTCTAAATCAACGTAATTTTCTTTACATAAATAAATTATTTAAATATTCGGGTAATTCATATCAGGTATTTAAATATTCAGGGTTTTAGTTATTATAAAATTAGAGTAGCTAAATAGTAGCCAGCAATGTTGAACCCTCAAATTATGGACTTTTAAGGCAAGTTCCGTTAGATAAAACTTATGCAACATTAATCGGCGCAAAGTTCAGCTGCTTAGCATATAAAATAGCTGGGTGGCGTTATTTTTCTGTGGTGCCATTAAAATGCAAATATGTGGTATGCACAACTCCCAAGCTGGCTTTTTGATGCATTTTGAAGTGACGTTTCAGGCTATGTTAATATGTGGAAAAGTATAAACACTGCAAACTATGCAAAAAAATTTACATTCAAATATAGTATTTAATATTATATACCTTAATAAAATCATACCTAGATAAATATATTTATGAATTATGAAATATATTGCAGTAATACAAACAAAATTATTATTAATTTATTTAAATCTTTATTGCACCTTATACGTCAAAGAACACGATGATAATTAAAAAATAGTAGCACAAAGCATAAATGAGGAGAATACTTGTATTAAAAATATAAAAGGCTATTAATTATATTTATACATTAGTTTTGTATTACTGATACAGTTTTAAAATAACTTCGATATATCGAATTATAAGTTTGACGGTGTCATTATCATAGAATTTTCTAGTATTTATTTTCGTTATTGTAGACATATTTATCTACTCATTTTGCTATTTTTACCGACACGTCCATTTGAAGCTACAGATTCATCTTTCTCCAAAAGTTCTTCATCTATAAGTAAATCGAAACTTCCCAAAGATTCTGGTGAAGGTAATTTATTCCAACGCACATCTGGAACACCATCGGGAGGTAAAACCACTGACAAAATATTGTCTATTAACTTATACTTCAATATTCTGTCATTAACTGTTGTTGATGTTAACGAAGGTGAAGCATTGACTTCTACCAACCAAGGCTTTAACTGGTTGTCAATAATGATATCGTAACCGTAACATTCAAAACAATGTCGGTCATTCGCCATTACAGAAGCAACAGCTTTTAGTGAATGCACAATTAACCATTGCATAGCCGCAAACAACTTCTCCGTAACCACCCTCCCCCGACTACCTTCCAAGTAAAGTCGTAAATTTTGTACACTCATTTTACCACCGTGTATGCTATTATAGTCACCACCATGTTTCTGTACACTAACATTTGTAAGGTGGACATACATGTTGTCTAATTCCGTGACACTTGTATCGTATTTCACTGTGCAAAACCTACAAAAGCCGAGTTGGAAGAGATAAGCTTTTAGGGGTCGGAAAGAAGTTACCAACACGTACAGTCTAAGGTCAAACTTTTTTCCTCCTATTAGCAAAGGATTGTCTATATAACGAGAAATCACGTAGCTTTCCTTGCTCAACTGCGGATGGAAAGGAGTTTTCGCCTCACGAGACCACTTTTTTAGCTTCGATAACTTGTTTATAAGGAAAATACCGGTGCCTTGAGACTTCCCACAAGGCTTCATAATCCAAGTGCTTTGTGGAGATTTACGATACTCTTCAACGAACATATTGTAGTCCGCTGGAAGAACAAATGTAATAGGTACGAAATCGAGATGAATATATCTCGTAACAACTTGACCTCCATGCAGAACAACTTCTGCCTTCTCAGCTAATGGACTTCCTTCTCTTTCGAGTTCCTTGCGATATCTTTTTATATTTTTCACAAGCAAGTCTTTTCTTGAAAGCTCATAATGGTTCGGAAAGTGATTAATCATTTGATTGTCATTCATTCGATAACCACTCTCGACACTGAAAAGATTTCTACAGGTTTGTGTTGAAGCCCAATAAAAGTTCCATTCGTCATCCGGTCCGACTTGATTCCAGCCTCGTCTCTCAAAATTACTCATCAAAACGGATTTCTCTAAATCCGTGCAAAAGTTTACGCGACATTTTTCGAGGGCCGGAGCAGTAACTCTCCCGTATAAGTTATTTGTTATCTTCTTTGCTTCTTGATTCATTGTTTTTGTTCTCGTGTCAATTGTTTACGTGAAAAGTTTAGTATATTGACCAAATATTTGCGGCACAGGTGCGTACCGTTGTCATGGCGTTCGACAAATATAGCTCGCTATTGGGCGATATCCAATCTCGCCCATTTTGCTATGACTACGTGTAAACATTGCCGATATTGATTTTTAACGAGTTTTACCGGTACACGATACGTGCAAATTTTCAGGTTTACACAAGTAATACGTAGTATGTGTGTATACTATTAGTATAGTACGAATCCATTACCGTCCCTTTATTAGATATGGGACTCTCTTTAAAAGGTATAAGCTAATATCTACTAGCCTCCTAATAGCATGCTGACAGTATGACTTGCTATAGAATCTTATTTCGGATTTCACTTTTCTTGATGTGGTTTTTTGTACCAGACACTCAATTCAATGAAATACGAGTTGTTTTATATAGTAAATATAGACCATTTATAATGAATCAAATATTTTCTATATACATTACGAAGGTTAAACAAAGAACTCAGAACAAAAACTAAATATAGAACTAGGTAGGCACATAGAACAAAAGCTGCACATAAAACTAGTTAGATTTAAACTAAAAGAAAAATACAAGGACAATGTTTAAAATTATTAGCGAATTAATATTAATTAAACTCGTACTACCCGTTAACTGTCTACTGCTAAACATAGGCCTCCCTCATAAAGGGAGTTTTGCCAGTAGTTGCCACACTTGGCAAGCGAGTTGACAACCGCAGTTAGGGTTTGATGATATTTTACGAAGTCTGGAGGAATATTAGCTAATGTAATACAGCAATGAAAATTCTTGGAGTGCACATAAATATTTTTTAACGTAAAACGTTAACACAAAATAAGTAAGTAATGAATAAGGATTCGCTCGCTTAGTACATGCCCATCTTTACTGACCTAATTCACTATAATACATATTATGTTATTTATTTTAATATATAAATTCTTATATTATAAAGTATACTGATAATAATTTTATCCTATACCTACATTCCATTAGAATGGACGGACAGCGATAATAATTAGAGTGCAAGCATCATATGTTCCTATAGAACGAACGAGAATTTAAAATTACAGCGTTTCTTTGGATTATAAATAAAAAAATATTTAATTTATATTTTATTTTTATTAAAAATATTTATATCAAAAATAAAAATGACAAAAATAATAAATAGTATAAAAACCAAACAGTTACTTATATAATTAACACGAATCCTACATAATAAGAATAAAACATATCTCAATATAGATTTATTGTATACTACAACAATAAAGAACTTGTTGTTATTGAAATAACGTAGATATTTATACCTAAATATAAGAAAAGAAAACATTAATCATTACATAAATGTCCTAACTGTACATACGAAATATTAAATCAACCCTTTTATCTAAATAATATACGGAACTGACATAGGAGCAGATTAGATTGTATTTTATAATAGACAGCAAAAAATATCTTGATAAAGAGAGGGTGAAAATAAAATTTGATTACGAAAAACAACGATCATATAACTCTGGAAAAATTCGTATAGACGAGACATAATATTATTGTTTTTCTTTTTTAATTATTATACGACAACTTACTGTTTATGTTTATAGTTAGTCTATGAATAGATAATAATTACATCTATTAAACATTTACTTACTTAATTAAGCTAACTAGCTATTTATTATGCTTATATTACTTGACAGAATTCAGTTAAGTGGCAGTATCATCACATAGATTTTGATAGATACAATTTTTATATTTAAGAACGAAGGCATAACTAATAAAGTAATAACATACAAATTTAAAGTATCTCATATATATGTAATGTATATTATGAAGTTTATAACGTTGTACTAAAGTTTATATTATCGTAAATAGGCACTATTACACAAATTGTATTCACTAACCAACATTAAAAGTTTTCAGCATCGTCATAACCTCTCTGCTATGTTCCCTTTCGTTTTGTCCCTTGACGCTCATTTTGAGGCTTACAATGCAAAAGATCTGTAATAAAAAACTCACTGCTCATTTTAACATTCGGTATGATTTAATAACTTTAATATTCTATATACTTCATTTTTTAATCTACAAGCTGGATATAACTTAATACATATTTAATTTTGTATTATATTTCTTTTTGTAAACTGTACTCAGGACATTTATTATTATAATATTTGTTATCTACAAGTTTAATAAACTTTATTATACCTATTTGAATTACAAATATCTGAAATTGTATTGCGCGTTTTACTTCAAAATTCAGCAATCCAATAAAGATTGTGAGACATATTTACGTTTTAGCGAAGATTCTATTAAAAGCAAAAATTTTGTCGTGCAAATAAAAATTAGTAGTTAATTTCTACTAATATAATGAGACCGTAAAAAATCCTATTTCTAAATCGTATTAAGTAATAGTAATATTATTATGGACTGGACTCATCTCAATCTCGAGCAAAAAAATTACTAGAGACTAATATCGGTTGTTGTTCTTTAAGATTTAAATTTTCACATGTTAGCCCCTTTCATATCATAAAAATATTCAAACAGCTAAATTTAAAAAATACGGAAGACCTTTGGGGCATGTCTGTAAAAGTAGTTAGTTCTTTCATAGATATTGTTGCTCCATATCTAGCCACTATTTTTAATAAATGTATTGATAATGGCGTTTTTCCACATTTAATGAAATTTAGCAAATTAATCCCACTATTTAAATCAGGAGATAAATTTGAGCCAGGGAACTATAGACCTATATCTATTTTGCCAGTTCTAAGTAAGGTGTTTGAAAAGATAATGTTAAATCAAATGTTACATCACTTCAGGGTTAACGGACTGCTTCACAGTCAGCAATATGGTTTCACCGCCGGCAAGTCTACCACTGACGCAGGTGTTGCGCTAGTGACACATATTTTCGAATCTTGGGAGAGGTCACAGGATGCACTCGGAGTTTTTTGTGACCTATCAAAGGCATTTGATTGTGTGGATCATAAAACGCTTTTGTACAAGCTCGAACATTATGGTATAAGAGATAATGATCTAAAATTAATGAGAACTTATTTAGAGGATAGGGTTCAAACTGTAGATATTGACGGTGTAAAATCTAAGGGAGCTAATATTAAGATGGGCGTTCCACAAGGGTCAATCTTAGGCCCCTTTCTCTTTTTAATCTACATAAATGACCTTCCCTTTATGGTAGAGAAAATTGCAGATATAGTGCTGTTTGCGGATGATACTTCGTTAGTGTTTAAAATTGGACGTCAAAGTAATCAATTAGACGATGTAAATTGTGCTATGTCTGCAATATTAAATTGGTTTACATGTAATAACCTATTATTAAATTCCAGCAAAACAAAGTGTATAAAATTTACACTTCCTAATGTAAGACTAATAAATACACAGTTATTGCTTAATGATGAAATAGTAAATTTTGTTAATGATACAGTTTTTTTAGGTATAACAGTGGACTCGAAATTACAATGGGGGCCCCATATTTCAAAATTGGCCAGTAGACTCAGTTCTGCTGCATATGCAATTAGAAGAATTAGACAATTAACAGACGTGGCAACGGCTAAACTTGTATATTTTAGTTATTTCCATAGCATAATGTCTTATGGCATACTGCTGTGGGGTAAAGCAGCCGATATAAATACTATATTTGTTTTACAAAAGAGAGCCATACGTTCTATTTATGGTATGGGTTCGAGAGAGTCATTACGTCAGTGCTTTAAAGACTCAAATATCCTCACAGTTACTTCACAATACATTTATGAAAATATTATGTATACACGGAAGAACTTAGAGAGTTTTAAAAAACTCAAAGACTGTACAAGTAGAAACTTACGCAATATAAATAAGCTTATTTTACCTAAATGCCGTCTGCACAAAATCAGTAATTCATTCTATGGTAATTGCATAAGATTTTATAATAAACTGCCGGAATCTGCATTAAATCTGACAGAGAGGCAATTCAAATCTTATATTAAACAATTTTTATGTAAGAAAGCCTATTACAGGATAGACGAATTCATAGATGACAACATATCAAGTAAATAATTAGTTTATTAGCATACAACGTTATAATTTTATTTTCTCATTGCTTTCTTGATTTAATTGATTAATTTTAGAAATATGAAAGCGTAGCGGTTTTTTGTATTAATTGCCGCATGCATTCTTATGTAAAATGTGAATACTATAACTATCAGATGGCAATTGTGAGTAGCTTTGACGTGGTCTAGTGTTTTGAGTAGTCATGCTCACTAAAATGTCCAGACTTGTGGCGGCGTGGTGGGCCGGGTCATTGGGCTCCCTAAAATATGGTCGAGCGCAGTGATGGCTGGCTCATCCGTCATACTCGTGAACGGGTGCTGCTTGTAGGGACTGGTCTGCTCTAATCACTATGACTGATTTCCTCTTATTAATTGTTTAACCAGTTGGTTATGTATTCAATATTTTTTTTCTTTTTGAGTATTTAATTGAATTAGTGCTAATTGGTGGTTTGTATTCACACAATTAAACTTGAAAATGTAAAGTAATAATAAAATTATTTAAAAGAGCAACACGCAAGTTTCTTGCTCGTTCTTCTTGTGATGAGACAGCTTTCCGAACGAGCGGTAGATTAAAAAAAAAATGTAATGACTTTTCAAAAGTGCTTCAATGTAAGTTTATTTGAATAAATGATTTCTATTCTATTCTATTCTATTATGAATATATATTTTAATCATCATCATCAAAAAGATGTAACTAAATTTCTATAAATCGATATAGGGATGTCACACCAGGGAATGTTGTTATAATATTTGACTATTTTACTTATAATGTCCATATGTATTTATGTAACCACACACAAAATTTCAAAAACATTTGATACATATTTATATTGTATACTTATTTCAATTTATTTAAAGAGTTGCCTACCTATATTAGGTATACAAATAAAAACTAAAACTAGCTTAGATGAGCACTCATAAATATTGTTTTGCTAATTATGTGATTATTTTAAAAACTCTATTTTCAAATCCAATTTTACAAACATTATTAAATATTAAAATGTTTATGAACGACTCGTTATTAAGTTACCGATACAACCAAAAGTTGAATCAACTCAAAT